CCTCTGCAACGTATGTGGCGAATAGTACACGCGCGCGTCGTCGCGCGCGCATGCCAGAATCTTTCAAACACCTTTTGTATCACACGGGTTTCAACATTGAGCGTGTCTAAAACATGTCAAAACCGATGGTGTCGCAATTACAGCACCGTTGGCGTGTTTTCTGTCGGATTCTGAAGACAATCGCATGGTTATCAAGATTTCATTCCAACCAACAGTGCGTCTCGCGCGCGCATGCCAGAACTGTTCGAACGCCCTTGCGCGCGTGCTGAGGAGGGGGCCTGGTCCCTGTCAACCAATACCTTCCAGAGGCATGTCGACAATTTTCCACAACCTTCATCACCGACACGTTGACACCATCATCGTCATCGGCGTGATCAGTATTGGCGCCGTCGTTGGCCTTGCCGCGGTCATCGTCATCGTCGTCACCAGCATCGCTACAATCATCATCGTGTCTGCCGCTGTTGACGTCGCCAAGATAGCGCGCCCGCCCGAGTCACCGACTCGCACTGAAGTGCCCGCGCGTCCGCGCGGCCTGCGAACAAAAGTTCGCTGCACCAAATTGGTTGTCACGCGTATTGCACCACGTCGATTGCGCCACATACATTGTACCTCATATGTTGCACCGCGTGGATAGCACCAGACAGACTGCGCCACATATGTTTGTCCACGAAGGCTGCACAAAACATATTGCATAACGTATATCTTCCTTGATAGCGAGGAATGGGGATTTACCACCCTTCCCGGGGTTATCTTCCCCAGCTGGGGACGTGCAATTTACAAATGGTTCCGCCCCATCAATCGTTTCAATTGTGAGTTCGTGCCATATCAGCCAGGGGGCCGGTATCGATCCCGCTTCGTCCTGGTCAAACAGTATGATGCGCGTGCACACGTTTATCGCAAACCACCAGTTTCCAACAATCTTTTACAGCATAAGACAAAACATGACGAAGTGCACACGCGCGCGCGTTGTCGCTTCCGCATCCCAGAAGCTTCCAGGAACCATCGATTGCGCAAGGGTTTCAAGATAGAGTGGCCCGACAACGTACAGAAACTATGTGGCTTTGCAACTTGTTGTTCCGAAACAGTGTATGCGCGCGCGTTCTTGCGAATGTCCTTCCGCAAAAACTATGATTTTCAACATGTTCATCAAATGCGACCAAGCGGCCTTTCGCGCGCGCGCGTGTTTAAATCAGTCGAACGCTCGCGCGCACGCGCTGAGGGTGGGCGGGCCCCTGTCACATAACATTATGCAGGCCATCTGCGCCCGTCGGCCGCGCGCACATGCCATAATCTTTATTGGAACTTTCATCACCGACACGTTGACACCATCATCGTCATCGGCGTGATGACGATCGGCGCCGTCATTGGCCTTGCCGTCGTCATCGTCATCGTCGTCACCAGCATTGCTACAATCATCATCGTGTCTGCCGCTGTCGACGCCGCCAAGATAGAACGCCCGCCCGAGTCACCGACTCGCTCTGAAGTGCCCGCGCGTCCGCGCGGCCTGCGAGGAGCTCGCCGGGAAATCCCCAGTGGTCAGCGCCACCGCGGCCGCGTCGGTCGCGCCAGAGAGGCTAGACGCTGTGCGCGCGAACCTGCGCGCGCTGGCGCGGCCGCAGCGATGCGCCAGCCAGCGCCCAACAGTCATCGCAATCGCCGCCGCATGGGTTTTGAAAACCAAGTTCCGGGTGGGTGGAAGGGATCATTGCGCTGGCAGTGGAATTGACAATTCCAAGTTGGGCAAGGTGAATTGCACCACGAAGGTTGCACCACGTCCGTATATTTTACCACATGAAATGCGCCACGCGGGTTGCACCACCTCGATTGCACCACGCCGTTTGTGCGCCATACAGATTCCGCCACATAGTTCGCATCACCATTAATGCACAGCATGTATTGCGCAGCATTTTTTCATAGACCACGTATTTTGTCCCAAATAACCGCATACATGGCCCCACGGCGACTGCACAATAGCGGGGTTGCACAACATACATTGCGCAACATGTGTTGCACCACGTAGGTTTCACCACATAGATTGGCCCACCTGGATTGCATACCGTATGTTACTAGACGCACGGTTTGGGTTCCACGCAGGCTACTACATTCATATGCATATGTATATATATATATATATATATATATATATATATATATGTTCGTATGCATGTGAATATATATATATATGTATATATATATATGTATATACATATATACTCATGTATGTGTGTATTTATATACATGTATATATGTATATAAATGTATGTTTGTACAGATATATATATATATATATATATATATATTATATGGGTGGGTCCAAGTATGCATGTATGTATGTCTGTATGTATGTGTGTGTATGTATGTATGTATGTACGTATGTATGTATGTATGTATGCATGTATATATGTATGTCTGTCTGTCTGTATGTATGTATGTATGTATGTGTGTATGTGTATAATTATGTATGTTTATTCGCATATGCATATACTATGTTATAGCTATGTTGTGGAAGCCCTTTCGAAGGTGGCCTGCCATCGTCCCGCGTAAGAGTTAATATAAGCCGAGAAGAGCTTGTGGCCCCCCTCATTGCCTGCTGCGGCCATGTCCTTGTGGTCTCGCCTCCTCTTCCCTGCGCCCTGACCCTCCTTCCTCTCCGCCTCGTCCCCCCGGGGCCCACGTGGAGCCCCGCAGGTCCCATGTGATGTTTCTGATGACTGGTCGCTGGAAATGCGCTCCGCGTCGATGCGGAACCAATTTTCGTAGGAAGGTCGATGTCATGTGTGCGTCCCATTGCCTTCGTCACTGTAAGCGCCTCCCGGATGTAGGCACGGGTCCCCGGAGGATCTCTTCCGTTACATCCGTTCACATCAGCCGATGAGTATCATTGCTTGCCACAGGTGTGGGTCGTATGCAGAGAGAGAGAGGTGATAGCGAAGGTTTATCCGGTTTCTGCCAGCGTCGACTTCCACACCGAGGGGCTGCCACCTGGCTGGCAAGAGGCCAGGGGGGGATGTCGCCCAGCAGTAGCAAGCGCTCCCCGCCACAGTGCCCAAGACTTTTGCGATTTACTGGCCCGATTTGTGCGAGAAGTGCGCGCAAATGCCAGGGCTGAGAATTCAGGGGATTCCGACCTAGTCCATTTTCTCGCTTGCTTTCTTTACTCGCGACATGGCGACTGAAGTAGTTGTTAAGAAAGATATGGTTCAGCGTTTGCCTCAAGCACGTGATTCGGTCATTGCAGTCTGTATGTGTGATGCATGGTGTGTTGTATATGTGGTGCAAGCTGCGTGGCGCACTTTCTTCGGTGCAAGCTAGTGGGCGCACTATATGTAGTGTAAGATGCGGCTTGCCATTAACATTTCGCAGAACATGCGGTGCAATCCATGTGTTGCAAGCTACGTGTTGCATGGGATTTTCTTAACAACCTTTGTGGTGCAATTTATGCGAGGCCAAAACAAGTTGTACGGGATTTTGTGCAACCTATGTGGTGCAATTTATGCGAGGCAGTCTTTGCGGTGCAATCCACCTACTGCAGTATATGTTGCCCGAGGCTGGGGTGAGATCGCAGTGAAACGGAGAGCACCAAACTGGGAAATCGGTTTTGGTTTCGTGTCGTGCGCGCGAGCAAGGCAAAGCTGCGTGGGCGGGCGAGAGGAACGAACCCGTCCCGGCTAGGGCGAATCCAGGCTCAATGTCTCTCCTCCCCCGGTTGGCCGGCGGTGGCCCACGGGTGTCCCGCCGGATCTCACCATCGATCGCATTGTCGGTAATGATGTCGGTAGTGATGTCGACCGTGAGATCGAAAGTGTGATTGACGGTGAGGTCGATAGATAGTGAGATCGATCGTGATATCGACGGTGAGATCATCGGTGAGGTCGTCACCCTCAAGCTCGTCGCAGTTGCCACCAGCTGCCTCCCCCCTCACACACCACCTCCTGTTCACCAGAAGGGGGGTCGTATAGGTTCAAGGATCGACCACAGCGCTGTTCAGCTTGGTTTGGGTCCTGGTTTTGTTTCACGTTTCGTTTTTCGTTGCTGTTTCGTTTCGTTTTTCGCTGTTGTCTCAAACGCCCCGTTCCGTCGTTCGTTTTCGCTCGGCGCTGGCTTCGTTTTCCACGTTCGTTTTGGACGTCGGGCCGCGTTTCGTTGCTTGTTGTGAACGCCACCTCGTTTTGCACATCGCTGTGGCTGTCGTCGGTCCTCGCATAGGTACAGCATGTGGACTGCAAGCACGCTGCGCGGTGCAGTCCACGTGGTGCGGGAGCTGCCGTGCCCTCTGCGCGTGCGCCTGGAACCGCCGGCCAGCGCACCGAGGCGCCCACGAGGCGCCCGCGGGCGGGCGCCGGGCGAAGACTCGGGAGAGCAGCCGGTGCACGGAGCGGCCACGAGGTGCCTGGCGGCGGCCTCCGTGTTCGAAGGCTTGGAGGAGCACGGCAAGGACTTTCGGGAGGCCTGGGGCTCGAGTCGGCTGGAGCTCGGGGGTGTGCCGACGCGTCTTGACGAGCGCGTCCTGGGATGATTTCGACGGCCCAGTTTTCGTAGGATGTCTGCAGCGGGAGCTCGCGTCAAATTTCAGATTGGGCCTCGTCATCTTTATGATGTTCCCGTCAGGCCAACCCGAGTCCCCCGTACCCGAGTCTTACGTCTCCCCGACACGCGGTGCCTACCAGCGGTCTCCGTTCGAAGACCTGGAAAAGCATGCCAATTACTTGCAAGGGAAACGTGGGCCCTCACTGCAAGCACTAGTTCGGGAATTGGGGCGTCGAGGCACCGTTCTCGGGCCTTACGAGAGTGCATCGACCCGCCGCGAAAGACTGGGCCCAGGGATTCGGCCGAGAGCTTGGAAGACAGAACGCACGACGTCGGATGTCTGTGGAAGATTCGTGCGCGCAATCACTTACTGATGTGAATGCGCCATGTGCGCCAGGAACGCGCCGGTATTCTTGACTTTTGAACATGAGCGCACCACGAGCTGTGCTATGTTTTTCTTCTGGCAGCGCGAAGCGACCCGTCCTTGGAAGAGTGTGGCAGAGAGGCGATACAGCAAGAGGAGCATCAGTCCGTAGCATTTCTGGCTTACTCGCCAGAGTCGGTACAGGTCAGCCGTCGATGTGCCTTTTGAAACAGCTCTCGGCCGCCAAGATGCAAAGCCTTTCCTCGCTGATATTGGCGACAACTGCTGGTGTCGCTTTGGGCGGCAACGTCGTGAGCAACTCGCAGTCGGCATTTGTACACCTGTTCGAGTGGTCGTGGGGCGATGTGGCTCAGGAGTGTGAGCAGTGGCTCGGTCCAAAGGGCTTCAAGGCCGTTCAGGTCTCGCCGCCGACGGAGCACATCCAAGGTGCGGCCTGGTGGACGCGCTACCAGCCTGTCACCTACAACCTGATTTCGAGATCTGGTAACGAGACCGAGTTCGCCTCCATGGTGCAGCGGTGCAAGGAGGCTGGTGTGGACATCTACGTCGATGCCGTCTTCAACCATATCGCCGCTGGCAGCGGCACGGCGATAGGTGGCAGTAAGTACGGCGGTCGCGCGACGCCAATCTATCGAAGACGCTTGCGGCAAACCACTGCCGCCCCCTGTCGTTCGGCAACGCCCTGGAGGGCTCCACGTGGCAGTTCGAGTTCCCCGTCTTTGGCCCTTCCGGGGATCTCCTCAGAGCCTCCTTGGCCCTTCTTGGGGGCCTCTCGGGCTCCCTTGGGCGGGAGGCTCTGAAGACCAAGCAGTAGAGCACGCAGCGGATGTAGAGTAAACACATGTCTGTTTGAATGCGCATGGTTTTTTTGGCTAGCACCCAGGGCCTCCAAGACGGCCCACGAGGCCCTTAAGAGAGCCCCCCAGGAGGGTCTCTTGGGGGCTGCTGATGGATCCTAAGCCTCTGCGCCCTTTCTTGGGAGGCTTCCTGGAGGCCCACGGTGGAAGCTCCCGGCAGCGCCTCTGAGCGCTGGGCAGCGCCCCAGATCCCATCTGCTTGGTGGTCTGGGCCCTTCGAGCACAAAGCCCTTTTCCGCTCGAGCGCGTGTGTGAGCCTCGGGGCGCTCCGACAGGTGCTGCAGGCACGGGGGCGGGTTCGCCGCAGGACATGCACCACAGTGACGGCGACGTGGGCAAGAACTGCGGGGTCTCAGACTTCAGGGACAAGCACAACGTGCAGTACTGCGACCTTGTCGGCTTGCCAGACCTGTGCACCTCCTGCGACTATGTGAAGAAGACCGTCGTTGCTTTCATCAACCACCTCGCCGATTTGGGCGTCGCGGGCATCCGCATCGACGCCGCCAAGCACCAGGATGCAGAAGAGTTGGGCTCGCTGCTGAGCGCTGCGAACACCAGCCTGTTTTGCTTTCAAGAGGTAATATCTGGCGTTGGCGAAGCGATTACGCCTGAAATGTACACCAACAATGGCGCAGTCACCGAGTTCAACTACGCCAGGCAGCTCGCTCCGAACTTCCTCGATGAAGGCAAGCTGCAGTTCTTCGACGGCTTCGGAGAGAAGTGGGGCTTCCTTGCCAGCGACAAGGCGGTCGTCTTCCTGGACAACCACGACACGCAGCGCGGCGAGGCCAAGCTCACCTACAAGAACGGCGGGCTGTACCAATTGGCCAACATCTTCATGCTGGCACATCCGTATGGTTATCCGAAGGTCATGAGCTCGTATGCCTTTGCTGGCACGGACGACGGTCCCCCATCTTCGCCCGTGCATTCCGACGGCGGCGTCGCCTGCAGCGCTGGTCCTGGCCAAGACGCGCCATGGATCTGCGAGCACAGGTGGACGGCGATCGCAAACATGGCCGCGTGGCGCCGTTCCGCGGGCACTTCCCCTGTGGGCAGCTTCCAGAAGATGGCGGCCGACGTGATCGTATTCTGTCGTGGCCAGACGGCATGTGTGGCGCTCAATCGCCTGTCATCCCCGTGGTCTGGCAATGCCAAGCTGTCACTCCCGGGCGGTTCGTACTGCAACGTCATCGAGTCCGACGACACGTCCTCCTGCCCGCAGGTCCAGGTCAACCTCGATGGCTCTGTGAATCTGCAGATTCCGGCTATGAGCGCGGTGGCTTTGCACACTGGCAAGCAGGCCAATACGACGCTCATTCTTACGTGAGACCCTGGCTCCCAGCAGCACTCTCTCGCTCTCTCGCTCTCTCTCTCTCTCTCTCTCTGTGTTTTTGCGCCAGCTCGACGGTCTTGTCGGGGATCCAGCCCGCCCGCCGGCTCGCCGACGCTTCTGGCGGGGGCGGAAGCTTCTCGGGCCGGAGGCCACGCCCGGGCTGGGCTCACACGGTGTTTGGGGGATCTCGTGGGCCGTCTTCGTTTCGACTTCGTCTTGGGGCAGAGGTGGGTTGAAAACACAGCGAGGGAAACCGAAGGCAAAACTCGCAGGCCTAGAGGTTGACACCAACACCAACATCGGCGGTGTGCCTCCGCCGAGGGAAGAAGATCCCGACCTCGGTGATGGTGGTAATACTCTGGCTTCCAAGGCGGCCGAAATATTACCACCAGCGCTGGAATCTAGGATCGTCTTCCCCCTGTGGAGGCCATCCCCTGTGTTGGTGTTGGTGCCCATTTCCAGGCCTCCAAAAAACGAAAGCGGAAAACACCGTGCAGGTTCAGCCCGGGGCCACGCCCCAGACTGCCTGGGGCCCTCGGGCGCGGCCGCCCACGCTGCAGCGCAGCGTGGGCGGCACGGCCGGCAGGCTCCCCCCTGCGGCCGGGCCCCCAGCCCCGCAGGAGGAGGAGGATCAGGAGGGGAAGAAAAAAACACAGACACAAGTCATCGTCGATTCCCAAGAAAATGTGGAAAATATGGGAAGTGGGGGGGAAGGCAGAAACCCAAGCATATGGGGAATTTGGTCATTTACGTCTATTGTTTCTTGTGTCCCAGTTCCGCTTCAGAGGAGGAAGGGCAGGGATGGGAGGGTCGACGAGGCGTACGAGTGGCCTTTCGCCGGAGGGACCTTCTGGCGCGGGCCCAACGGGCCCCCGATCGCTGAGCGCGAAGCGGTAGCAGCGGCTTGCGCGCCCAGGTTTCGGCCACTCTTACGTGTAACGGCGAGAGGGGAGAGGGGAGAGGATGAGCAGCGAGGGCAGCTTGCAGCAAAACCCGCGGGCAGCCAAGGCCGCCGGCGGGCCAGGCTCGGTGCAGTTGCCAGGGGAAGCCAGCCGTTCGCGTTCGGGCGGCGCGCAGGCCAGGGGGTGGCGCGCGGGGGGGTAGCCCTCTGGGAGGGCAGGTCTTTCTTGAAAGGGTCGGGGGAAAAGCCGGTTGCGCTGGTCGAGCAGTGCCACGAGGGAAGACCTCGGCGACCGAAGGTGGGGACCAGTCCATCCCGGCAATACGACAGCATTGCAGAGCAACGCATGCCATACCATATTCACCTCAGGCCTGTGTGGCCCTGAAGGCTTCTTGGACGGGTAATGGCTTGTAAGACGCCCCCAGGCTCCTCGGACGGCCCCCCCCTCGCGCCCCCCCCTTGCGTGCGCCGCCAGCGTGCGTGAGGCCGCTCAGCTGGCCCCCACGGGGCGGTGCAGCTGATACAGCGCCCGCCTTCGCAGGTGTGCGCGCTGAGGGGGCACCAGGAAGACCTCTGCCTGCGGGTCTCGCCTCGCGCTCGCCGCGGAAAGGGAGAGGACCGACAGCATCGGCAGGAACGAGCATCAGTAAGGGGAGGGGCATGAGGAGCAGGAGCAGCTGATAAGCTGTGCTTACGCCACGGGTCCTGACCCCCGGAGGTCCCGGAAACCCCCACAAACCGCCCCGAAACTGGCCTAGAACGCCCAAGCCCTACATCGCCGCTCCTCAGGGTCCAACGAGTAGAACTTACAAAGGAGCAGCACTAGCAGCGTCGGGAGGCAAGACTGCCATGAGGGGCGCTGATAGCAGAGACAAGCGCAGCAGCGGCGGCGGTGGCGGCGGCACTGGCAGACTGCAGCGGCAGCGGCGGTGTAAGCATGTGCTGCAGAAGTGGCAGCAGCAGCAGCAGCAGCAGGTGCAGCAGTTGCAGCAGCGGCAGGAGCGGTAGTTGGGAGGAGACAGCCGGGCCGGCGACGCCTGCGACAGCAGGTGTGGACCGGAGATGCCCCCGACGTGATCACCTACAACGTGGTCGCCTGAGTTGCCCTTTGTTCTTTGGTCCTTCTCTTCCCTCTCCTCGCCCTCCTCCATTTTCTCATGTGCCCTCTGCCTCTTGTTCTTATTGTTATTCTTATTGTTTCTCTTATCAATATTCGTGCTGTTATTGCTATTTGCATTATTATGGTTGTTGTTGTTGTTGCTGTTGTTGCTGGTGCTGTTGATGCTGTGGTTGTTATAACTGTTGTGTTTGTTGTTGTTACTGTTATTGAATTCTCATTTCTGAAGAGTGATTATTGTTGATCCCCCCTCACTGGTGCATGCTGTTTTTTCTCAATCAAAGTGTGCCCCTCGACGCTCGCACCTTGTTTTCTGACAGGGAAATTCTTGATGCTCAAACTGCGCCCCTGACCCCCGGGTTACAACAACAACGGCTCCCGCTTGAGATTTCCTCACAATTTAGCCAGGGCCCCCGCTCCCGCCCGAGAAATCCTCGCATTTTATTCAGGAATCGCGCTCTCGCTCGGGACTTCCCCTTGCACTTTATTCAGGAATCGCTCTCCCGGCGCTCTGGAGTCGCGCTCTCGCTGGAGACTTGCTTGCAATTTACTGACGAATAGCGCCCTTGCGCTTGATTTTTTTCGCAATTTGCTCAAGCGCCGCGCTCCCGACACCCAGGCACCCAGGAGTCGCGCCCGTTGTGGCCCCATGTGCATGCCCTTCGTGGCCCCGCTGTCGCCGTTTATGGCCCCCTCACTGTCCTACGTGGCCCAGTTGCTACCCTCAGTGGCCCCATCGTTGCCTTTCTGCGGCCCCGCATTATCTGCCCTGCGTGGCCCCCGCTCGTTCGCGCTCTTCGTGGCCCTATACGCATTCCCTTCGTGTCCCCGCTGTCGCCCTTCGTGGCCTACTTCGTGTCCTTCGTGGCCCTGCTGTCGTTCTCTCTCGCTCTCGCTTTCGCTCGTCGTCGCCGTCGTCGTCGTCGTCGTCGTCGTCGTTGTCGTCGTGGTCGGTCCCCTGTCCGTCCCTCTTAGGGTCGGGTCGACGGTCCGCGGCCGCCCGCCGGTCAGCGCTGCCGCTGGCCAGGCCGACGGTCCGCGGCCGCCCCGCCGCTTGCTGGGACCCGGCCTGCAGGGAAGAAAGGTACACCCCGCAAAAAGGGTTCGATCGAAGACGAAGAGGGCGGGTATCGAGGGTTTGGGAAATACGCGTTATTGGACACTCGAGCAGATAAAGGGCGCACAGTCTTTCAATGATTGTTGATGTTAACTACAAAACAATCAAACAATTATTGTTGTTGGACCCCTTAAAGGCGCTTTGGCGCTCTCGCCTCGGCGCCAGCTGCATTATCATTGAAAATGAGTCTCACCCTCGAGCGGTTTGGGGGGCCGCCAAAACTGGCCCCCCAACAACAAAGCTCCCGCTCGAGAGTTCCTTCTTTTTTACTCAGGGCTGGTGCTCTTGCTCGCCGCCGAAAACCGCCGTCCTAACAGAACCAGCGCTCCCGCTCGAGACTTCCTCCCGTTTTGCCTTGGACTGGCGCGCTAGTCTTTCTCTCATCGGCACCGCCCCCAGCAAAAACAACGCTCCCGCTGGAGGATTCCTCTCTTTTTTACTCAGTGCTCCTCCTCGCCGCCGAAAACCGCCGCCCCGACAAAACCAGCGCTCCCGCCCGAGACTCTCTTCCGTTTTACGCTGGGCAGGAGCCCTACTCTCTTTTGGATCGGCGCCGCTCCCAGCAAGAACAACGCTCCCGCTCGAAAATTCCTCCCTTTTTCCTGAAGGTGGAGCTGTTCCTCGTCGCCGACAGCCCCCGTCCCGACAAAACCAATGCTCCTGCTCGATGTTTCCTCCCTTCTTACTCAAGGCGGTGTTCCTCCTCGCCGCCGAAAGCCGCCGCCCTTACAAAAGCAGCGCTCCCGCCCGAGACTTTCTTCCGTTTCACGCTGGACAGGCGCCCACTTCTGTTTTGAATCGGCGCCGTTCCCAGCAAGAACAACGCTCCCGCTCGAGAATTCTTCCTTTTTTCCTGAAGATGGAGCTGGTCCTCGCCGCCGACAGCCCCCGTCCCGATAAAACCACGGCTCCTGCTCAATGCTTCCCCCTTCTTACTTAAGGCGGTGTTCCTCCTCGCCGCCGAAAACCGCCGCCCCGACAAAACCAGCGCTCCCGCCGTAGACTTTCTTCCGTTTTACGCTGGGCAGGAGCCCTACTCTCTTTTGGATTGGCGCCGCTCCCAGCAAGAACAACGCTCCCGCTCGAAAATTCCTCCCTTTTTCCTGAAGGTGGAGCTGTTCCTCGTCGCCGACAGCTCCCGTCCCGACAAAGCCACGGCTCCCGCTCGATGCTTCCTCGTTTCTTACTCAAGACGGTGTTCCTCCTCGCCGCCGTCCCAGCAACACCAGCACTCCCGCTCGAGACTTCGTTTTGTTCTACGCTGGACTAGCGCCCTACTCTCTTCAGCATTGGCGCCGCTCCCAGCAACGACAGCAGCCTTGCTCGAGACTTCCTCCCTTTCTATTCAGGGCCAGGTCCTTGCCTCACCGCCGACAGCCCCCGTCCCCACCAAGGCAATTCTGTCGTTCGATACTTCCTTGTGCTTTACCGTTCGCTGGGGTTCCACTGGCGGTCTCGCATCGGCGCAGCAAGGCGCGGGCATGTGTTTTCGAGGGGGGGTATGTTGAAATTCCTCGGGGGAGGTGTGTGCAAGACCTCATTGGGCGGGAGATCTGGGAATGGGAATAACGGACCCCGCCATAGAACAAGAGTCCCCCATGATGTGGATGGTTATCATGATGGTCGCATGCTTTGTGTGGGAACATCGCGCATGAGGTCAAACTGATTGTTGTTGTTGTTGTTGGTGTTGGTGTTGGTGCTGTTGTTGTTGTTGTTGGTGTTGTTGTTGCTGCTGCTGCTGCTGCTGTTGTTGTTGTTGTTGTTGTTGTTGTTGTTGAATAGGAGCGGGCGCCGGCCCCCGGCGCCCCCCCGCATGTGGGCCCAATCCCAACCCACTGGGCCCAATCCCAACCAACTGAGACCAATCCCAACCAGTGCGAAAAGCAAACTGGGCCCAATCCCAACCATCTTGGGATATGCCTACAATAGGATTTTAATTGTAGAGAAGCCCAAGACGAGTGCGAAGACCAAGTGACATTCCTTATGTCAACGCACAGGATCTGGAAGCCAACATGCATGCTCGAGTTGGAATTGGTCTCAGTTGTGGTTTGCACACGAGCACTACGTTAAGATGAGCAAGAGGGCACCGAAGCGTAAACATCGATTCTAAAATATGCAAATGGATCTTCCTGGTACTAGTAGTAGTAGTCGTAGTAGTCGTAGTAGTAGTAGTAGTAGTAGTAGTAGTAGTAGTAGTAGTAGTAGTAGTAGTAGTTGTAGTAGTAGTAGTAGAAGAAGTAGTAGTAGTAGTAGTAGTAGTAGTAGTAGTAGTAGTGGTAGTGGTAGTAGTAGTAGTAGTAGTAGTAGTAGTAGTGGTAGTAGTAGTAGTAGTAGTAGTAGAAGTGGTAGTAGTAGAAGTACTCGTAGTAATAGTAGTAGTAGTAGTAGTAGTGGTAGTAGTAGTAGTAGTAGTAGTGGTAGTAGTAGTAGTAGTAGCAGTAGCAGTAGCAGTAGTAGTAGTAGTAGTAGTAGTAGTGGTGGTAGCAGTCGGAGACGCAATCGTAGTCGTAGTAGTCGTAGTAGTCGTAGTAGTCGTAGTAGTAGTGGTCGTAATAGTAGTAGTAGTCGTAGTAGTAGTAGTAGTAGTAGTAGTCGTAGTAGTAGTAGTAGTAGTAGTAGTAGTAGTAGCAGTAGTAGTCGTAGTAGTAGTAGTAGTAGTAGTAGTAGTAGTAGTAGTAGTAGTAGCGGTCGTAATAGCAGTAGTGGTAGTAGTAATAGTCGTAGTAGTAGTGAAAAATGAAACAAGTAGCAATTGTAGTAACAGCAGTAGTCGTAGTAGTAGTAGTAGTAGTAGTAGTAGTAGTAGTAGTCGTAACAGTGGAAGTAGTGGTGGTAGTATCAATAAGGCAAATACTAGTAGTAGTAGTAGTAGTAGTAGTAGTAGTAGAAGTAGTAGTAGTAGTAGTAGTAGTAGTCCTAGTAGTAGTAGTAGTAGTAGTAGTAGTAGTAGTAGTAAGAGTTGTGGTAGTAGTAGTCGTAGTAGAAGTAGTCGTAGTCGTAGTCGTAGTTGTAATAGTCTAGGTAGTAGTGGTAGCCGTAGTGGTAGTAGTAGTAGTAGTAGCACTAGGAGTAGTAGTCGTAATCGGTGTCGTAGTCATAGTCGTAGTCGTAGTAGTAGTCGTAGTAGTAGTAGTAGTAGTAGTAGTAGTAGTAGTAGTAAAAGTAGTAGTAGTAGTAGTAGTAGTAGTAGTAGTAGTGGTAGTGGTAGTAGTAGTAGTCGTAGAGATAGTAGTAGTAGTAGTAGTAGTAATCGTAGCCGTACTCGTCGTAGTAGTAGTAGTACTTGCAATAGTAATAGTAGTCGTAGTAGTAGTAGTAGTAGTAGTAGTAGTAGTAGTAGTAGTAGTAGTAGGTGTAGTAGTACTAGTAGTAGTGGTAGTAG